CCCAAAGGCACTAACTTATAGTTCCATGTGGTGCTGTGGGCTAATGTGTCATACTAGAGTCATTTGAACTGCAAGGTCAGCAGTTCAAGCTCACCAACCGCTCTTTGGAAACCCTATACAGACTCTATACTATGGGTCAGAATCTACTCAATGACACTTATCAACAACAACAATGGAGTACTTAAGGAGCTCTGGTAGTGTAGTGGTTATGAGTCAGGCTGCTAACCTCACAGTCAGCAGTTCAAAGCCATTCCGCAGGAGAAAGGTGAGGCTTTCTGCTCCTGTAAAGATATACAGCCTTGGAAACCCTATGCAGTATCGCTGTGAGGTGGAACTGACTCCACAGCATACCACTACCACTAGTGAAGTGCCTGGAGGCATCCTATTCCACAAAGAAGCCTCCTGCTCAAAGGCACTCAGGTTTATTTGATTATTCGATCAGTGCATGGGGGAATCTGCCACTCTCTCTCATGCTCTTAAAGCCGCTGCCCGCCTTTCACCCCCACATCACTGGTTCACAACCCTCTGTCTCCTGGGTTGAGGAAGTTCATTTTGCAGGAATCTCAGTTCCAAAGAACACTCTCTACTCATCGCTCTTCTTTCATGATGGTAATGAGATTCCCTCATTCCTGCTTCTGGGATGGCTCATTTAAATCAATTCAGCAGAATGGCAAAACTGACCAGTTACTTCTTCAGAGTCCCATACTCCATATTTGCATGGTCCAGTTTTTGGTGGGAGTTACAAACGCTATGAATAGAAGAGCCATATCAAATAATTCACTATAAGACATGGCCAAATTATCTTCTAAAAAGATCAAGCCATAGGCCTAGATAGAGCCCACAGCTGCTCTGTCTCTCCATGCCTTCCCCGCTGTCACTGTCTCTGCTGTCACCGCTTTTCTAGGTAGGGATCTCACCTTCCATTCATGTTCTTACCTCTTTATGGTCCTGGGATTGTCTGTTCCTGAAATGAAAGATTAACTATTCCCCCTTTTTAGTTACACATCTTCTGCAACTTCAGTTTTGAAAAATCACAATTAATCCTGGTAATAATCACTCACAATTGAGTCATAAAATCCTTCCACCTGACCCATCTGGAAAAGAGGAAAACTTTGATTCAGTGGGGATTCTACTCTACCCTCTTCATTCTGAAACTAAGCACACCCATGAAAGTTTGCAAGCCAACCACTTCATGCCTTAATAGCCTCCCCCACCCATTTTTGATAGCCAATGTCTAAATTACCTATTCCTGTCAACCCTAATTGGAACTGAGGAGGCAAGCATATTCCTTGATATGAAGAAGCATTCCGGTTGGAATTTTGAGCAACATATTGAACTTGAGTAACAACTGTCTAGCCCAGAGGTTAGCAAGCTTTTTATGTAAAAGACCCGGAAGTAAATCGTTTAGATCTTGCTTGCAGGCATATAATTTTTGTTGCAACTACTCAACTTTCCCTGTAGTGTGAAAGTAGTCATAGACAATATATTAATGAATGAGTGTGACTTTGTTTCCATAAACTTTTCTGAAAGCTGGCAGTGGATCAGATTTGTCCTATAGACTATACTTCTCTGTGTGCTAGTCTAGCTCCATAAAGACGGAGCATCATCTTCCAAGACAGATTTGTGTATTCTCCTGGCAGTTCATAGTATATTCAGTATTCTGAGCTAATACCATATCTGTCATTTCTTTGGTCTAACTTATTCATTGTCCACCAGTCGCTCCATGGCAGAAAGATGAGAGAGGCTGCCTGCTCCTGTAAAGATTTACAGTCTCTGAAACCCTAGGAAGCTGCTGTCTTAAGAGTCACTACAAGTCAGAATCGACCTATTGGCAATGGGTTTGGTTTATATGTGTACCACCCAGTTGTAAGTCTGAAGATTCAAGCAGGGGTCTACATGTTAGTTCACTTAACCTGGTCTTTGGTATGCAAATGAAAAGCTGATCCATGTGTGTACAGGCTGAGATCAAGCACAGGAGTTTGTAAACAGCTTCATGGGGTTGTTTTTCTGAGCTCATCCTTGTCTACTGTCCTACTATCTCTGTTTCAGTGTTTTATTTCCTGGGACTCTACTTTTTGATGAATTGATAATTACTCAAATGTAACCAATATTGTGATAATAGTTTGCCTTCCAGTGCAGGAAGAATACTGACATTAAAGTGGTAGTTTTGTAGTAGTCCCGAGTATACTTTGTATTCTCTACTGTGCTTCAGATCATGACACCCTGAGTTACTTTAGTGTTTAAGATCATGTCTTAGTGTTTTCAGTGTCTCACTCAGGTTATTGTTAAGCCTCTGTCTTAGTTACCTAGTGCAGCTATAACAGAAATACCACAAGTGGGTAGCTATAGCAACAGGAAATTGTTTTCTCACAGTTCAGGAGGCTGGAAGTCTGAATTCAGGTTACCAGCTCTAGAGCAAGACTTTCTCTCGGCTCTGGGGAAAGGTCATCATCTCTTTTCAGTTTCTGTTTCTTGGTCCTTGGAGATCTCATGTGGTGTGGCATTTGTCTTCCCCTATCGGTACTTTTTTTTTTTTTTTTTTTTAATAGCTCAAAAAGAACTTGATTTAAGACACATCCTACACTAGTACTGTCTCAACATAACGAAAAAAACCACTTTTCCCAAATGAAATTTTAACCACATGTATACTAGGATTTATCCATTGCCATCAAGTTAATTCCAACTTAGAGTGATGCTGTACAAACAACTAACAAAAAACCAAGTTGTTTTCTAACTCATAGCAACACTATATAGGGTTTCTGAAGCTGTAAGTATTTATGGGAGCAGAAAGTTTCTTTCTCCTGCAGACTGCCTTGCAGTTGCAGTCCAATGATTATCCTACAGTGCTAGCAGGGCACCTCTAGCGATCAAATAGTACGATTTATAAAACCTGTTTTGAGGGGGACACAATTCAACCCATACCAGGCTTCTTTCCTTCATTGTTTTCAATCTCAAGGAAGCTGTAGATGATTCAAGTGGCTTATAGATTCTTTATTGTCCTTTTCCTCAAAGAATCTATGGATGGCTTAAGATTTTGGTTATTTTCTTTAGAACTGAATTTAAGGGATTTCATGAGATAGCCTATCTGCTCTCATTTAGTAAACTGTAGTTTACCAGGCTGTGGCCCATTTTTGTTAGGTCCCTTGAGTATAAAAGTGATCTAGTGCTAATTTCTTTTATAAGGCTCCACCCTTATCTTTTTCTTGCCTTTTCAGAATACTGTCTTCCTTGAGAAAGCAAATTTTCAGGACCAGGAAGTAAATACTACCTTTTTGCATTTAGATTCTAGGTTACCTACATTGTCTTAAGGATTTTGAAATTTACCCTTTCCCTGACGGACTGCATCTCTGTAGAGTAACTCCCATCCCCTGTGGCATTCAATCCTTTTTTTCCTTTACTAGACAAGGAGGGAAGTAGAATTTCAATGGGAGTCCATTTACGTACTCAGCAGATACTTATTAAATGCCAGCTGTGTGCATAAATTTTGCATTCAATTTCAAAAATGTTAACAGGCAAGTCCATGGATGCTAAGTTCTGTTCCATAAGACTTACAGAGATCAATTCATTTGTTTTTCAACTCAGTCCTGTTAGGTATTTCCTAAAGTTAATTCATTTACAGGGGAACAAACTAAATGGTTAAGTAACTTGCCTGATGTCACAGCTTAGATGATAGAGTCATCAAACCCAAATGCCACGCCCACTGCGATTAAATCAATTCCAGCTCATAGCTATCCTTTAGGATCCTTGGTGGCAGGGGCTTATACATTGAGCTGCTAACTACAGGGTAAGCAGTTCAAGTCTGCCAACCACTCCAAGGGGGAAAAAGAGACTTTCTGCTCCCATAAATATGTACAGCCTAGGAAACCCCATGCAGGATTTTTATGAGTCGGAATCATCTCGACAATTAACAGCTACAACAAGCAACCCTTTGGGACAAAGTAAAACTGCTCCCTAAGATTTTCTCTTTCATACCAAGTGAGAAAGTAGTCTATATGATACTGGAAATTTATAGACTTGAACTACACGTGACTGAAAAACCAGAAGAAGATATATCTTTCAAATTCTCATTAAGAACATGACTGTTAAGACAATGATGGGTCAGGAAGACCAGTGGAAAATCTCCTTAGGAGAGAGCCATAGAAGATGTACACCAGAAGAGAGTTGTAATCAGAGAACTCAAAAAAGAAAAATATATCATGCATGACCTCAAAAGGATAGAAATTTTTTTATTCCTGTGCGTAAGATTGCTCAAATAGATCATTAAATATACCAGTGCCTTGAATGCAAACAAAGCTTCTGTGAATACTTAGCTCTGAAACTTAGTCTTGTCTGTCTCACAGAGAGAGAGAGAGAGTGTTGTTTTGAACTGCTGACCTTGCAATTAACAATCCAACACTAAACCTGTATGATACCAGGACTCCTTGCTAGATATATAAAACCTGTTTTTCTCTCTGATCATTGGGAATTTTAATGATCATTAGACATTTCCTTTCAAACCTTTCTACAACAAGGATTGCAAAGATACTCACAGTCCCATTTGGTTTGCTTTCTTCATGAGTAGACATAATGGCCCTTAAACCTGTCCTGATTTTTCAGTTGGCGCATGGGGAAGTGTCCCAGGTTTGTAATAACCCAAGTTCATAAAAGAAAGGGTAAAAACCCTTCTTACAGTACTTTCCTTATATACATTGTTGATCAATTATGTATCAGCTAAGAGAAAAATGAAATAGCTGGTCTTAACCCCAGTAAAACCTAGAACACTTACAGACTACATGAGGAATTTCTGACGTGCCTGCATTGATTTTAATTGTGTGGCCTCTTGTTAAGTTATAGGTATATAAATAATATTTCTGCTTTGCCTCACAGGTTTGGAAATACCAAGTAAGAAAGTAGTATATATGATGCTGGAAATTTATAGACATGAACTACACATGACTAAAAGACCTGAAGAAGATGTATCTTTCATATTCTTATCAAGAAAATGACTGTTAAGACAATGATGGGTCAAGAAGACCAGTGGAAAACTCCCTAGGAGAGAGCCATAGAAGATGTACACTTCAGAAGACAGCTGTAATCAGAGAACTCAAAAAAGAAAACTATATCATGCGTGCCCTCAGAAGGGTAGAAAGATTTTTATTCATGTGCATAAGATTGCTCAAATAGATGATCAGATACTCCAGTGCCTTGAATGCGAGCGAAGCTTCTGTGAAAACTTAGCTCTTATTATGTGTGAGAGAACCCATAGTGGGGAGAAACCTCATAGATGTGATATGTGTGAGAAAACCTTCATCCAAAGCTCAGAACTTATTTCACATCAGAGGATCCACACTTACGAGAAACCTTATAAATGTAGCAAATGTGAGAAGAGTTTTTGGCACCACTTAGCCCTTTCAGGACACCAGAGAACCCATGCAGGTAAAAAATTCTATACATGTGACATTTGTGACAAGAATTTTGGTCAGAGCTCTGATCTGCTTGTTCACCAGCGAAGCCATACAGGCGAGAAACCTTATCTATGTAGTGAGTGTGATAAGTGCTTCAGTCGAAGTACAAACCTCATAAGGCACCGAAGAACTCACACAGGTGAGAAACCATTTAAGTGTTTGGAGTGTGAAAAAGCTTTTAGTGGGAAATCAGACCTTATTAGTCACCAGAGGACTCATACTGGTGAAAGGCCCTACAAATGTAACAAGTGTGAGAAGAGTTACCGACACCGCTCAGCCTTCATTGTACATAAAAGAGTTCACACTGGGGAGAAGCCCTATAAGTGTGGTGCCTGTGAGAAATGCTTTGGTCAGAAATCAGACCTTATTGTGCACCAGAGAGTCCATACAGGTGAGAAGCCGTATAAATGCTTGGAGTGTATGAGAAGTTTCACTCGGAGTGCCAACCTCATCAGGCACCAGGCAACTCACACTCACACTTTTAAATGCCTTGAATATGAGAAAAGTTTCAACTGTAACTCAGACCTTATTGTACATCAGAGAATTCACATGGAAGAGAAACCACATCAGTGGTCGGCCTGTGAGAGTGACTTCATCCTAGGCATGGATTTTGTTGCACAACAGAAAATGAGAACTCAAACAGAGGAGCTACGTTATAAATATAGCGTATGTGATAAAGGCTTCCACCAGAACACAGCACTTCTTCAACACCAGACAATCCACATTGGGGAGAAACCCTATGTCTGTAATGTGGGTGAGAAAGGTGTTGAGCTCAGCCTTCCCCATTCTTCAGAAGCCTCACAAATGTCTTGACTGGACAAGAAGTTACAACACCACACAAAAATGCATTTACATGTCACAGCTCACTAAGATGAGAAACCTTAGGCATATGTGAACGGTGACATTGACTCTCCTCAGATGTCAGACCTTAGTGGGTCCCAGAGAACCAGCAGTTGTAAGAAGTATGAGAAATGCTTTGTCCAGAGAGCTGCAATAACAAAAAGCCTTACAATTCTCCAGTGAGAAACTCTACAGATGCCCTGAGTTTGAAAAACTTTTAGTTTGAGCTCAGATCTAATCACCTGCAATAGGATTCATCATTTCAGAGTTAGAATCTACCATTCACTCAGTGGGAGAAAGATGAGGCTTTCTGCTCTCATAAAGATTTTCAGCCTCAGAAACCCTCTACAGGGTCTCTGTGAGTTAGAACCTACTCAGCGGCCCACAACCACCACCACAATAAGATTCATACAGGTGGGAAACCTTAAATATGCAGTCAGTGTGAGAAAGCTTTGTATCTGCTCAGCCCTCCTTGTTCCATAAGAATTCACACACAACACCTTTTAAATGCCCTCATTGTCAGCAGTGCTCCAGGCAGTGTGTGCACATCTCATTGGACATCAGAAAACTTGCACTGCAGAGAAGTTCCAACAAGTGTGAGAAAAGCTTCTAACAGAACTGTTGACTTTCTAACCCATTAGAAAATCCATACTGTCAGAAAATTCTGTGTTTGTCTTGAGTGTGGCAAAAGCATCAGTTGGAGAGCCTTCTTGCATTTTAAAAAAGCAAAAACAGTAGGAAGAAAGACCTTAAAAGTATCTGGATAAGAAAAGCTGTTATAAGGATCAGTTCTTATGGTACACCAGAGAACTTAAGTTTAAAAAAAAAAACTTTAAATACTTTGAATCTGAAAAAAGCTTTGCTAGTTCTTGTCAGGGCCCCAAAGAACCCACTCTACAGAGAATTTTGTTCCAGTAAGAGATCTAATTATGGGTGAGAATCTGTGTACATATAATACATATGAGATGGACTGTTCTCATAGTTTAGTTAACACATACAGTAGAGATGACTTTACATGAAATCAGTGTGGAAACAGTTTTTTAGATACCCAGAAGCTTGTTCTGGGAGGAGTGAGGGCAGGTCAGAGTAGGCCTGATCGGTAACTCAGGTAAAGATGTTTTTCTTTTATCTGAACCATTTAATGATGGCTTTTCTTTCCTTTTTTAAATTCAGAAATCTAATAAAGGCAAGGACTAACCATGTGCTAGAAAGTGTGGCATGTGTTACTGTTGGGGGGAAAGGAATATATTGACTTTGTCTATGTTTTTTGTTCTTGCCTACGATGGCACTAGTGTATGTTGATAGTAAAGCATGGGAACTTTTTGCTGACAGTAAAATAAAAACTAAGAAGCTAGGAAGTATTTATCCTGGAACAAAACTTTTTAGTTTTCCCTTTGCAAGATCAAACTATTAAAGAAGCAAAATACTCAACTTTTCTACTTAAGAGTAACTCGAGACACACCCTCAAAAGTTTCCTTTTCTCTAAAATATCTTGCAGACCATCACTGATGTTTAGAATGTCAGCCTTAGAAATGCATTTATTTTTTATTAGAAAATGCAAATTCCGGGATAATAGGATGTTGCTGGTATCCATAATTTTATAATTTTATCTTTTTAAAATGATAAATGCCTGTAGCCATCTTGTAAAATGGCTAGGATAAGACTGAAAGAAAAGTTCAAGCCTGACTGAGCACAAAGCACAGGCCACATAATGATGCAAAATTAACAGAGGAGCCAGGCTTTCTGATTATGATTGTCCTGATTTCAAAGCTAGTGTGCTTTCTATCCTATTCTCCTGCTGCTTATAGCAAATCTAAGCCCACAATGACGCACCACGCATTTGTTCCAATACTACCAAGGAAAGAGAATACCTTTTATGCCAAGACAAAGGATTGTATTCATCATAATATAGAGTATATATTTGGCCTGGAATGCAGATTTCTAAATACTAACAGGAAGAAGAAGTTGACAAATTGATCAGAGGTTTAAGGCTAAGCACTTGTTTCCAAATTAACAAAATAATGATTGTAACATTCTCTAGAAATACTGTAGTTAATCCAAGGATCTATAAATGTCCATTTCTGGGTTTTTTATTCTCAGCTTAAAATACCTTTAATACAAACACCTCAGATACCTAGAGAATGGGGACTCTAAGCTGGTAAATAAATAATCACTGCTAGTCCCAGTCTTCAAATCTGGTTTGATTTATTTTAGCAGAACTCCAGAGGCCAATGTCAATGGAATTCAGAACAATGGCTGCATTGCTCTTTGCAAACAGCCCTAAGCTTTGATCCTCTTGACTGGTTCTTCATTTTCTCTTAGTGCCTGTGGAGCCATGATGATTGTTTTAGGGCCAGTTTATCTAGCTCACAGTGGTACTAAGGAATTCAATTCTAGAGGGAGTTCATTTAGAAAGCAAATCTGGAAGTTTGTTTGAGCTGACTTGTTTCAGTGAGTTTCAAAATAGCTCTTATATCATTAAATTGCCCAGTGTGCTCAAACACAAGATGTTATTTGTTTCTCTTTGGTAAAGAAATGCCTTTCACTAGTAGATGTGTGATAATTGTAACAGTTCAAGTAGTATCGGGGATGTGGCATGGCGGTGATAGAAATTAATGCTTATGGCCTTTTGTTAGTCATTAGAGGGCACTTGGAAAAGGGACAGTGTCGCTGTGATTTGCCCCTTTCAACTAATCTTACTGATAATCGTCTCTAAATTAGGGATGGACCATCTTTCAAACTCAGAATTTTGGGGGTATAAAACAGGTCTGAGGGCTTATAAAAAAAAGTGTTGGTGTTATCCATATAGCATAACCTGAGGTTGGAGAGAGGACCACTTGGGAGCCTGTAACCAAAACTAGGAGGTAACTTCTGGGATGGATGGAGGTTCTCTTGAAGCAGTGCCAACCTAAATTCTACCTCAGGTAAGTAGTTAGAGTAACTCTCAAGGTTTCAGACCAAATAAGACACTTGTATTCAGTCCATGTATTCCTATGCTTTAATGTTTTTGTTTCCCTTTAATTCTGAAATAAACACTTGTTCTGAAAAACTCCATTTTGTCTTCACAGTAACTAAGGTAAATGTTTCCCATATATTCATGTTAGAATAGAGCACAGATTTATGTGACTCGTGGACTTGGTACTGATGATAACCCTCAGACAACCTAGAGTCCCTTCAGTGTTTGGTGTTGACACAGTGAGTGGAAATCTGGAGGGGAACAACATTGATTGCTCTTTGCTGTAGACATTGTGCATTACATAAATAATCGGAGGGAGGGACAATAGCGTAAACTGACCATATGTGAGGCTCTGCTAAAATTCATTAACAAAGCAATATATGCTTTAAATAACGCTCAAAATTAAAAAGGAAGATTTGGATTCTCAGGTCCCACCCTATCCGCAGTTGGCTTCTAGCTCTTCCCCATTGTCTTAGTGTTTCATGAATTTGAGAGGATGAGGGAGGGGAATTTAAAATAGTTGCTCTTATTTGCCCCCATTACTCAGGCAGAGTTTGGGACCTTAAAGATATAAGGGAGGCTGAAAGCCACTAACTTGCAGAGGCAATCGTTTTTCCATCTGGCACAGGAATTTAAAAGGAGTGGGCATAGGCATCCACTGGCAGTGACAACATCAAAAAAGGTACTCTTAAAAGGACAGAGAGGACCTTTTAAGAGTAACTCCTGTGTCACCAGTAAGGGGGCTCCTTAGTAAGGGGGCTAGAGCTTTATGATTTTACTGATGAGTGAGGAGCCCTGGTGGTACAGTGGTTAGGCACTGGACAGCTAACTGAGAGATTAGTGGTTCCAATTCACCGGCTGCTTCATGGGAGAAAGTTGATAGCCTGCTTCCATAAATATTTGCCACCTTGGAAACCCTGTTGTTTTAAGTGTCATTGAGTCAGTTCTGACTCATAGAGACCCTGTATAGGGTTTCTTTACTATAGGGTCACTATGAGTTGGAATTGACTCGTGGCAACAGGTTTGTCTATATTTGAAACCAGACATTATTTCTGCCCCACCAACTCTGACAGAGCAGGGACTAATAAGGGAGTTGTGTGGAAGGGTCTTTGCTGTACTGATGGATCATTGACTCCACCAAAAAAAATCTGCCAATGTCCTCAAACCACTTCAAAACCAATCACTTTATCCATCGTGCCTCACGTCTCCCAAAGGAATAGATGTTCTGACTCTCTTAATATGCTATACTTTACGCCATTCCTACCAACCACATTTTCTTCACCTACCTTTGAAAACTTCATTTGTCCCTTTTGTAGATTTTTTTCCAATCATTTTCGTTTTTGACACTTTATCCTGCCTGCAAATACACAGATGTCCTTTCACTCCCTGTTTTTGGTTTTTGTTTAAATTTAGGTTGTCCTTAATATGCTAGCCTTCTGTCAGTCCCCCTGCACCCCTCTCCCCACTTGCACTGCCAAAATCACCAGTTTAAAATGTATACAGAGTACATCTGTTAACATTTATTCTTGTTTTATGTTCTGGTTTCTCAGATCTCTATCCAGCTACTCTTTCAAGGAACATCAGTGATCTTTGAACCAAAGTGGGAGATACTGTTTCCAACATTGCCCATCACTTATCGGCCTCTCTTATTTTCTGTTTCTAGTGATGTAATATTATAACTATCTTTCTGATCACTCCTTTCCTTAGTTTTTCCTTTGTTGGCTTCTTTTTTCCAGTCTCATATAGATGATCATCACCTGCTTTCTCTTCCTCATAAAACTCCATCTGTAAAGTCTCCTACACAAATCTAATAAGTTCTAAACTCTTGCTTCCTGAAGTGCTTGTATTTTATGAATCTATTCTGCTAAATGTGCTAACTATAAAAATCCAACTCATTTCCATTTTCTCTCCAGTCTGGGATGCCCATTTGGATGGATGGTGCTACTCTTCTACTGTCATCAGATCCTATTACACTTTCTTCTGTCTCTCACATATGTTCCTTCATTTCCATTCTTAAAACTACTCTAGTCCAGGACCTTGTTAATTTGCCCTGATTTTTATGGTAATCTCAGTTGTCCTCTTT